GACCCTTTTTCTCTACCGGGCATAATCAACAGTATCGTCGAGATATAGCATTTATCGCCATTGTTTGGCGATAGCGATCTTCTAGAGGACGTTTCTTCACTATATATATAGCAACTTGGACACTTCCAGAATTAAGTTTTGCTTTAAATATTATCGTGCTTTTAATGAGCTCGAAAAGACCGCACCGACACAATTCCTTACGGTGAGCTCTGTATCGCACGCTTTCCTTGCACTGATCAGATCCACTTTCAGATTTCCGCTGATGTTGCTTAAATAACAGCCTAGACTTAGCCAAACTTATCTCCAACATTTCGGAAGTTTCAGAAAATATTATTTCTACACTCCCAATCTTTGGTTCTGTTTCTTCTTGAGACGGATATCCAGGAAGAACGTGCGCAAACATTAGTGACAGGTTCTGACGAACATCAGCAACCGCTTAGTCACTAAACTAGTGTAACCAGGTTCGGTACGCGTTTTGCACCTTGTAAGTATAAAACGTTACTTTAAGACTGGGCAGCTACATCTCACCCGGTGGACGCATCTCCGATGAAGAGTCTGCTCGCACACAGAAGGCTCGACTGGCATTTGCCAACTTGAGACATCTGTTGTCTGTAAACGGCCGAGTGTACGCTGCAGTAGTTCGGCCAGTTCTGCTATATGGCGCAGAAACTTGGCCGTTAAGAAAACAGGACAAAGATAGACTATCGGTGTTTGAACACTGCAGTCTACGCAGCATTGCACGAATCTGGTGGGGCAGCCGGACGAGCAATGCTGAGGCTGGGCGAAGAGTTTTAGGTAAATACGGTTATTCGCTGCAGCAAATGGTCGAACCTCATAGATTACGTAGGTTGGAGCATGTTTTACGCATGTTACCAGATAGGTTGCCACGGCGAGCGATGTTCACGAGGCAGGTAGTGGGTGGAAGAAAGTCAAGGGTGATCAACCGAAGGCCTGGCACGAGGGTATGAAAACCCTAGCCAGGATTCTTGGTCACGTAGGTTCCGTTAGGCTCCCTGGATGGGGACCTCGGGATGATGGTCACCGATGCTTAGAGACAGTGAGATGGCTGAGTGTCGTAAACAATGGCGCTCGTGCATCTTGTCAATTTCTCTGCAACATTAGTCCATTGAAATCCTAAATTTTCTTCTTGATCCCAATTCAACCTTTCCTGTCATTCTCCTGATGTTTATCCAAAGAGAAGCCGAAAGAGCAACCTAAACCGGCGAACGATAATGCATGGTTAATGGCTGTACAAACTGAACTGGTGGTAACTGGTCACCCTAGCCTCTATGAAATTGAATTAAATCTTACTATACGCTCATACAACAACTAATCAGGTTAGTTAAGTTTCCAACCGAGTCATAACCCGGAGGCGAGTGCTGAGGTGAGCGAGGCGCAATGTCCGCCAAAATGGGTTGTGTTTTATCGGTCTGATCATCCGCTCAGTGACCGACTGTGCGCTATGCTTGCGTTCTACCCGTGAGGTCCCTGGTTAGAACCCAAGGTGAGTAGATGAATTGGCACTGCTGATGAGACCTAACTAGGTTGAAACAGCGGTGCAGTGCTTCCCAGCATTTCAGCTTATTCAACGTATTCAAAATACAAACCAATTAAATAGTCTGCTACTTTAACTCAATAAGTAATACTCCAGTAAAGGCGGAGCATTTAAATTCGCTTCGCTAAGAGAAAGGTTATTGTTACGTATTTCAGGACATCAAGGTAACTATGAAAAATATAGAAGCATGGAACAAAATCACGTTCATTTACAAATTTACGCTTACACAAGTAGTTTTACTTACACTTCTTACGCTGGGTAATGCTTCTACAATCATAGAGAACACCGTGGGGCTAAGGGATTGCTGAAGGACTTGCAACAATTGCGAGGGTTGGCCGCAAACTGTCACCGCTACAGCGAAATGTTGAACACCTTCTTCTATCGCACCCATGCTTAAAGCCAGTTCGCCTTGTTGTATCTGCTCGAGGAAAAATTTGTGTAGTGCACCGGGGTCATTAAGTGGAGGCAACGGTATGCTTGACGCCTTCTGGGCTTCCAATGCCTGCTGCCGTCGCTCTAAGAAAAACTCAAATGTACAAATCAATAGTACTTTTCAACAATTTGCTCCGAAATTCTGGATCACTTCTCCTTTTTCTATCAAAATAAATGCAATAACCGACAAAACACAAGCCAGCGCCAGCGGCTATGTAAGGAAAAGCCGCACGCAACATCCGGGAGGCGTTCAGTTTTAGAACGCGCGCGTTGGTTTCAGGTCAGGTCAGGTCAGATCAGGTTGGTCAGGTTGCACAGGACTGAATATGGCCGCAGCCAATCGAGCGTCCAGAATTCATTCGATGGTATGCTCACAACGTGGGCACCCAGCACTGCTGAAATAAGAATGAGAAATAAAATCTCATCTCACCAAGTTGGCGAGTGAATTATTAGACGTGAGCATTCCATGCGTGTACCAGTAAAACGGGAAAAGGCATCCTAAACATTTGGCACATCTACACACGTCTACACTGCCAGTGATGGGAATAGTTCCACCAATCGCTTATCGATTGCAGTCTTAAATGCTTGCACAGTTTGGAGGTCGACGATTTCCTTGGGAAGCCTGTTCCAACTGTCGACTATCCTATTGCTGAAAAAGTGCTTCC